TAACCTTACAATTGCAGATACTCTTGTTGGGCTGCACCTTGTGCGAAAACTATGTCTTGGTTTTACCATATTGTACCTAAATGTAGAAATTAGTAATAGTCTGTTAGTATGCTTTTTACCATAATATACCATATGGTACCATAATGGTTTCCTACTATACCAAATCAGACCATATATTTAGCACATTTTACCATATGGTAATTACATGAAACCATGTCTTATAACATCTTACCATATGGTAACGAAGTAAAGCACAACAGGACTTATGTTTTCCTCCATTTTTACAACATGAAACCATAGCTTACCACACATTACCATATGGTAACAAACTAAAACACAGAAGGACTTATGGTTTTTTGCTATTTTACAACATGAAACCATAGCTTACCACACATTACCATATGGTAACAAACTAAAACAAAGAAGGACTTATGGTTTTTTGGTATTTTACAACATGAAACCATAGCTTACCACACATTACCATATGGTAACAAACTAAAACACAGAAGGACTTATGGTTTTTTGCTATTTTACAACATGAAACCATAGCTTACCACACATTACCATATGGTAACAAACTAAAACACAGAAGGACTTATGGTTTCTTGCCTTTTTATAACATGCAATCATAGCTTACCACACATTACCATATGGTAACAAACTAAAACACAGAAGCAGTTATGGTTTTTTGCTATTTTACAACATGAAACCATAGCTTACCACACATTACCATATGGTAACAAACTAAAACACAGTAGGACTTATGGTTTTTTGCTATTTTACAACATGAAACTATAGCTTACTACACATTACCATATGGTAACAAACTAAAACACAGAAGGAGTTACGGTTTCTTGCCTTTTTATAACATGCAATCATAGCTTACCACGCCATACCATGTGGTAACGAAGCAAAACACAACAGATTCTACACCAGTTCAGCAACGCATGGTAACGATTCGGTAATGTAGCGAGTTTTACTACAATTTTCACATGAAGAGTGACTGAAATACTGTTTCTATTGTTCTATGGATGGATTTCGAAGAAAGAAGTGAGGTTTTACCTTGATATTTTGTGCGAAAATGATTTTTGAGCCTCGTTGAAGTTGGAAACCCTTCGTTTTTCGACGAAGAAGCGAGAACAGTGAATTGTTGAATGATTCTTCGAAAACCTTTGCGAAAATCGTTGAATGATTCTGTGTTTTCTGAAGTTTTTGGTGCGCGATTGGATGAAGAATGGAGAGTTAGAGAGCAGAGGGAAGTGGAACTGTCGCGTGAAAGGTGAGAGAAAGAAGGAAAGAAGGTGGGCACGGTTTAATGTCACGTCTCCTTTTCAAATTGTCAGATCGAAGATTACTATTTTACCACACATTACCATATGGTAACAAACTAAAACACAGTAGGACTTATGGTTTTTTGCTATTTTACAACATGAAACTATAGCTTACTACACATTACCATATGGTAACAAACTAAAACACAGAAGGAGTTACGGTTTCTTGCCTTTTTATAACATGCAATCATAGCTTACCACGCCATACCATGTGGTAACGAAGCAAAACACAACAGATTCTACACCAGTTCAGCAACGCATGGTAACGATTCGGTAATGTAGCGAGTTTTACTACAATTTTCACATGAAGAGTGACTGAAATACTGTTTCTATTGTTCTATGGATGGATTTCGAAGAAAGAAGTGAGGTTTTACCTTGATATTTTGTGCGAAAACGATTTTTGAGCCTCGTTGAAGTTGGAAACCCTTCGTTTTTCGACGAAGAAGCGAGAACAGTGAATTGTTGAATGATTCTTCGAAAACCTTTGCGAAAATCGTTGAATGATTCTGTGTTTTCTGAAGTTTTTGGTGCGCGATTGGATGAAGAATGGAGAGTTAGAGAGCAGAGGGAAGTGGAACTGTCGCGTGAAATGTGAGAGAAAGAAGGAAAGAAGGTGGGCACGGTTTAATGTCACGTCTCCTTTTCAAATTGTCAGATCGAAGATTACTATTTTGCCCCCCCCCCCGTGTAGTTACTTTGCATGATCTGACGGTTGAAAAGCTGATGGAATGGACGGTGGATAGGGCGGTTACTGATGGTTACTGATGTATTGGTTACTGAGGGGATCCGGACCCAGTTCTGAAGTTATAGTTTGATGCTTCTTTGGTATGTAAACAATAGTGTTTGGTCGTCTCATTGTTTACTTTACATGAAACATAGTTTAAATATCTGCAAAGCTGGTTGGGTGACGCGTGACGTTTCACGCGTCGGGATTTCGCAAGCGAGAAACTAAGAAAAACTGAAAGAACTGGTTTATTATTTTCTGGTGAATAAAACATAGAGGTAAAGTACATATTTATAGGACAAGTCCCATAAACCCTCTCCCTCTTAAACAAGGAAACCCAATCCTAAACCAACTCCTAACCGATTACTTCCTTAACAATAATTAATAATAACACAAAATAACAAAAAGAATATCCAAATAAATAATAATAATAACCAAAAAACGTGCACTCATCAATCCTCCCCCCTTCAAGCGATCTCGTCCCGAGGTCGCATATCCTCCTTGAACCATTCCCCTTCATCACGGCTGAAATCCCCAATCAAAGACAACACTTGATTGTTGGCGCAACGATGACCGATTGTGAAACGCTCATCACAATTATAGCAAAGGCCATCACGACGGCGTTTAGCAGCTTCCTCCGGAGTTAGATGCCTAAAGACTCGCCTGCCATTTGCTGGCGGTGCTCGGTTCGGTGTAACTTGCAGCGGTGGTGGCGGTGCTAGGACGGGATTGGCAGTCGTCTCGTGGCTCCCTGTGCCTTGTGTGCGCGGCCCTCGTGTGGCTCTTCGCTCCAACCTAATCTCTTCCTCCCGGATTTTTTCCAGGCGGTACGCATCACCTGTGTTTCGTGGCCCGAATGCACAGATGCATGCCGAGATTTCAGGCTTAAGCCCTCCCATGTAAGTACCCATCACCGCATCTTTGCTCCATCCGTGACAACGGTTTAATAACTGCTCAAAAGCCTGCTGGTAATCTTCAACAGTGTCTGTCTGTCGAATTTTGGCTAGGGTCTCGTGCCCCGCCGCCTTTTCCGACGTCCCGTACCTTTTCCAAAATTCTGCATGGAAGTCTTCCTATGTCAGTACCATCCCTTCCTGGGCAAACTCTTCTTCAATCCACATGATCCACTAGCTAGCATCTCCCTCCAAGTGAAATGATGCCAAGGCTACCTTCTGCTCTTCCGGAATGTCCTGATACCGGAAGTACTTCTCGACCCTAGCCATCCATCCTGAAGGCTCTTCTTGTCCGGTAAATTTGGGGAATTCCAAGATCGCAGTTCGGCCCTTGAACCAAGCAGTGGCCGATTCCTCGCTGGTTCGAGTTCGCCCCCATTCAAACTCGGCCTGCTGTCTAGATCTAGTTGGCCTAGTAGGCCCAGTCACCCGATTCGAGCCCGAACCGAACCCTGCGTTCGCCCTTCCTGCACCACACCTGACCGGTCCGTTTCGCGGCCCGCGTCCCCAACCGTCCCGCTCATCGAGAAGGTCCAACCGGCTGACTGGCTCTGGTTGCAGCCCCCTGACCCTGAGCTCGGTCTGCCGCCGCCCAGCTTCTCCGCCCCCCTCGCGCCGCCCGCAGCTCCGGCCGTCCTATGCCCCGGCCGTTCATCGTACCTCTCGGCGGTCTTCGCCTTTCCCCCTTCCTCCGCGTCGAACGCCAAACTTCCCCATTCCCTTCCTTGCCTATCTGCGATTCCTTTGGCGGTGGGGTCGAGTTGCCATACTGCCTTCATCCCCGGTGAGTCCCTCCAAGGCTGACGCCGAGCCCTTGAGCTTTTCCTCAGGCGGTATTTGGTCAGCAGTCCGCTTCGCCTCAGTCTTCTCCCGTTTGATGCCGCTAGTGATAAGCGCCTCTATTCTCTTGGTGAATTCCTCGAACTCCTTACGCAAGGCGTTCCCGTTCCTCTTCAATTGAAGCGTGAACGTCTCGGTTACCTGCTCGAGTCCCTGCTGCAACTCCTGGAGAACCTCGCTTTGGAGCACAGACTGCCAGGCCTTGAGGTGCGAGACATCATCTCGGAGTTGTGCGCGTTATCCCCCAGCGGCGTGCAATTGTTGTTCGAGGTCGGCGATGCGTTCCACGACATCCCGGATCTGCTGCCCGGCGTCGTCGTCAGCGGCTTCCACTGAAGAAGAACTCGTGTTATTCTTCTTTGGCGGCATGTCGTTTGGCTCCTGAGTTCTTTCGAAACCAGGCTCTGATACCAATTGACGCGTGACGTTTCACGCATCGGGATTTCGCAAGCGAGAAACTAAGAAAAACTGAAAGAACTGGTTTATTATTTTCTGGTGAATAAAACGTAGAGGTAAAGTACATATTTATAGGACAAGTCCCATAAACCCTCTCCCTCTTAAACAATGAAAACCAATCCTAAACCAACTCCTAACCAATTACTTCATTAACAAGAATTAATAATAACACAAAATAACCAAAAGAATATCCAAATAAATAATAATAATAATAACCAAAAAATGTGCACTCATCATTGGGTTGATTTATTCGGTGGCCTATTTTTTGTGTGGTCACTGATGGCAAATCTTCATGGGTTAGCTAGCATAGCTTCTCTGTTTAGAATATTTCAGCACTGGTTAAAGGAAATCTTATGGTTCCCTCCCGGAATCATGATTTTCGTGGTGACAAGGTTTACAGCGGCGGTGGACGGCAGAGAACTGACGTATCAGACGAGAGGCTTCAGGCCGAGAAAAATAGAGTATAAGATTTATCGTCTTTTGTATTTCGTGACACCTTAACATTCAATTCTGCCCCTCATAGTCTGCCCTAAACATTTTGCGCCAATCTAGTGAAATCCCTTCAAACCCGTGGAACTGACTGCCAATTTGGGAGCATATTGGCCATGAATTGCTCCATTCCCTTCGCCGACATGGTATCGTCACCAAGACCCAGACAGTATAAAATGAAATTACAAGACTATATAAAACGAAATTGAACAATCTAGAAGAGTAGAAGTGGTTTCAATCTCGGGATCAAATAAATTACTTAGGAGAGGGTTTTGAGCAACTCCGACTCTTCATTCATTCTCTTTGATGTTCAAGCTTGCTGAATAAGGGTGAATTATGGAGTACCATAAGATAGACTGAATCATGGCTTTGGAAGTGGTGATGGTGTTTTGGGAACATGGAAAACAATTTCAAATTGACAAAACTTTAACAAATACTGGTACTTTAAATACATACATACGAAATAAGGTATTATAATGTTAAAATTGTTGAAGTACTATAATGATTATTGATAGACCGTTAATTGCACATGTTTTTATCTTAAGCCGTTGGAGATGTCGATTCTAGTATTTTAGGCTGATTTCACGCTAGTTTGTTCTTGTTTGTGATATTTCAGGTCCTAGTACGTGAATGAAGGTTTGGGGATGAGTTCGGGATCGATTGGATGAAGATTGGACATGTAGCGTGAAGCTGATGGAGCCACATAGGCACACCTAAAACTACACGGCCGTGTGGCACAAAATTGCATGGGCAAAGTCACACGGGCCGTGTAGGGGACCCCCTGTGGGCCGTGTGGAAATTCCAGGGAATTCACACGGGCATCCTGGAATTCCACACGGCCGTGTGGTTCGTGGCAGTGTAGGAAGCCTGAGTACTTATCAAAACGCCGCGGTTTGCACAACTGACACGGGCAGCTGGGGATGTCACACGGCGTGTGGCCTGGCCGTGTGAGTCGGGATTTTCTGGGTTTTAACCCAATTTTCAGCAAATGAGAAGCGGTTCCGAGTTTGAGAGAAAGAAAGCGATTCCTAGAGAGAGAAAGCGACGAACCAGAGTTCCCAAGTGCCCTAGCTTGATCTTCATCACCATTGGAGCTCGGTTCACACTTGGAGAAGTGCCGATTGAAAACCAGGAGCAGAAACCCATCCTTCATAACATAATTTTTGCATCTGAGCTTGCTTTTGCTTCTCTCTCCATGGAGTAACTTCCTCATTCATCTGGGTATGGAGAACCCTAGATTTGTATGTTAGGTCTGATTGTATGAACCAAATTACATATTCTATGATTTGATTATATTCAATTGAGGTTTGATTTATTGAATGGCATGAATCCTGATCAAATTCCTGTTGCTTCTGCTTCAACCTAGAAAGAGAATATCTGCCTAGGTGGAGGTTTGGTTCGTTAAGGCCTCAATCCGTTTACTCCGGTGGATGTTAGTCGCCCGCTGGAGACTCAGATTGAGAGGGTCTGGAGACCTTTAGTCGAGACTTCAGACTGTTTAAGAACCTCCCACAATATAACTATCTTTGAACCTGAACTTGGTAAATTACAATCCGGCTTAACTGCATTCTAGGGGGAACCATATCCGGGTGACCTCTCCCGACTTGAAAACAACCTTCTTGCTTGCTTTACTTGTTTGCTTGTTTGAACCTGCACTAAAGTTTCACCGCTAAATAATAAGAATTCAGTGAGTAGTCATCACATCTAGGACCCGGGTTTACATTAAAACCCAAACCCGCTATACTACGCTTTAGGAAGTGGTTACACTTGGCCATTTTCTAGAGTGACAGTAGGAGTGATTCAAGTTTTTGGAGCCGTTGCCGGGGACGGCTAGGTTGTTGAAGAAACGTGAATTCTGTTAATTTAGCTTTTCGTTTTAGCATTGTTTGCTTTGTCACACTTGTGCCTTCACGGGTTTGCTTGCTTGACTGTGTGCAGGTAGTGCATGACCCGTAGCCAGTCGGGAGGTTTACTGCCGTTGGATCCGGAGATTGAACGCACCTATCGCCAACTTAGGAGACAACAGCGAGCTACACTAGCTACGGAGGAGCGCATAGACGGCCACTTGAGCAGTGATTATGAGGAAGAGTACGAGATGGGAGGCGAACACAACCCACACCAGGGGAATCCTCTCCAGGTTCCCCCGGTGAATCAGATTTTGGGGAACAACCCCATACCCCAGGCAGATGGGGTTCATCATCATCCACCGCCACCGGGTCCCACCTTGGAGTACTACTACACTCCATGGGTTGCTGATACCCGTCCTGTCATCCTCTACCTGCCCATTCCAGCGAACAACTTCGAGATCAAGCCATGCTGGATTCAACTCATTACATCATCTGTCCAGTTTCATGGCTTGAAGGATGAGGAGGCAAGGGTGCACCTGTCCTGTTTCCTGCAGCTGACGAACAGGTTCAAGCTGAACGGTGTTCCTGATGATGTAATCCGCTTTCACCTCTTCCCTCGTTCTCTGGCAGGGCATGCTAAGAGGTGGTTGGAGACCCAACCCCCATTGTCCATCACTTCTTAGGACGATTTGGCCGACAAGTTCGTACACAGGTACTATCCGGCGTCAAAGACCACAGAGATCCAGCGGGAGATCACTCACTTCCGCCAAGAGCCAGACGAGTCACTTTGTGATGCATGGGAGCGGTACATGGGATTTTTCTGGCAGTGTCTGATATGATCCCAAATGATCCATTATACACGTTTAATTTACTTGACGAAGTAGCTAACGAAGTTGGAAAGAAGAAGGGCAGAATTTGGCTAAGTCAAAATCCGTGTTCAGGGTACATACTTTGGAGGCATGGTTCTCTCAATTGGCTTGGTGGAAATTCAAGGTTAAGGGTTTGTATTGAAGAAAAAGTTTCCATCATTTCAATGGTAGTCTTTTTGGATCCAGATGATGTCATTAAGGTTGTTTTCCAAGGCCTCAAAGTTGCTACCTCAAAACTGGAAAACTGCCAGAAAATGGCTAAGGCAGAAAACTGTTTTGTGAAGCCTATTTTGGAGCTCAATTCGAGGAGTATGGATCTGATTCAATTCCAAAGGCTTCCACAAAATGAAACTAGGTATGTTTGTGAACAAAGGGAAGGAATTGGATGAAAGATTGGAGTTCGGGAAGGCCTCAAACGAAAGGCGCGAAGTTAGCACGAAAGCTGCCTTTTGACTGTTTGCTGGCAGCTTACTTGCGCTTGAAGAAAAGGAGTTTAAACCCGAATTTTGTAACCTTTTTAGAGTAGACTTTTACCTTATTAGTTTCCTTGTTAATCTAGGTTTGTATTAGGTTTTATTTGCCTTTAAATACCGTTCTATTTCGTTGTAAAATTCAGACTTTGTTGAATAGAAATAGAAACCGTTTGGTTTGTGCAAGTTGCGACTTGTTTTGGGTTTGGTGGATTCCAAACTTGCTGAGCTTGTGTATCGATTGAATAGTCACTTCAATCGTGGTCGAGTAACTACCCTTTTATACCAATCGAGCTATCCCCAGGTGTGGATTTGTCCTTTTGGTTCCGTTTTATCCAAGTTCGTATTAAGAACGCTTCGTTCTTGATTCGAGCTCAATCGATTCTTCGATTGAGTCGTTAGCTGCGTGACTTTTGATAATATACACCCCCCCCCCAGGGGCGTATCAAGTGGTATCAGAGCCCCGTTCTACACGAGGGCAAAGGAGAAGAAGCAATCAATAACTTCGATACATACAGAATTCTTGAGCAGAAACAGGGCAGCCCTGCCAAGCAGTTCTAGCTGCTGTTTGGTGCGCATTCTCAATGGCAAATCTTGCCCAAAGTAATGTGAAGGAAGGAGGCAGTGGAGAGTCGAAGGATTTAAGAAATTGTGGTCATGAGAAGCGGCCAGCAGTCGTCCTAAAGCATCGGGAATCTGACGAGCAAAGAGACTGTTTATTTCACAGTCGATGCAATGTCAAAGGCAAATTACTTGCACTCGTGATCAATGGAGGTTTTTGTTCAAACATTATCAGTCTAGAAGCCATCCAAAAGCTTGGATTAACGACGCGAAGGCATCCAGAGCCTTACCAACTCAGCTGGATCAACGAACACGGTACGATTAATATCACGAAGCAAGCGGTGGTTCGTTTTGCAATCGGTGGTTACGAAGACGAGGTAATTTGTGATGTTGTTTCGATGAATTATGTTCACCTCATACTGGGTCGACCTTGGCAATTCGATCGTAAGGTCACACATGATGGTCGAACCAATCGATATAAGTTTGAGTATTGCGGCAAGAAGATCGTTCTGGTACCCCTTTCGCCAGACGATGTTTACTGCGATTTGAAGCAAATTGAGGAGAATAGGAGCGAGGGAAAGAGCGTAAGAGCTCAATTATGGGTACAAAGACGTATTGGACTTGATTTCATGGGCTTTAAAAAGCTTTCGCTTGCTGTTTCAGAGTCGAACACCATCCCCTGTTCCGACCTCTGTTCTGCGACGACGAAACAGAGTTGCCAGACTGGCTTCTCTGCCGACGACGAGGCAGCGACGCCAGCGCACGATGAGGCCATCAACTCGACCTTGAGAATTGAAGGAACGACGAAGAGTAAAATGGAAGATTCAGAGCAGGCGACAGGTGACCGAATTCCTACGACAACGAGCACTCTGGAACTCTGCCACTTTCATGAGGAACGAACTACCCAAAACGACGATCTCGTCGTGGGTACGAGAGGAGATTCGAGTGCAGCCACTGATTTCGAAACATTCCAACAAAGCCCAGGAACGAATTTGCGGGGAGAAGAAGTGTCGAATTCCTCTGAAAATCAAGCCAAAATACCTCTGGAAACGGCGGTACAGAGCAGGAGAGAGGGGGATTTGGGTGGAGAAGTGGGAAGCCGTTCAGAACCAACCAGTGGTTTCGAAACCATTGATGGAGGACCAGGAAGCCTTTCCCTGGAATGGAATCCATCGAATGCTTCTGAATCGAAGGAACCCATACACGCTAAATCTACTCTGCAAAAGCTCGGTCACGGCAAGGAAACGACTGAAGTGGGTGGAGCAGTTGACGACGATTCGAACCAATTGGTTGTCACGGAATCATCAAGAGGGATTCCCCGATGCTGTAGGAATCACCAATTCGTCCTACCGATGCTGAGGTTCCAAACGCCCAAATTAAAATTGACGATGCTAGGCAAACGACGTTTGAAATTGGGCGACGGCGGGAAAGAGGAAGTCGACAAATTGACAACGACAGTGACGAATCGAGGCAGGGAACAGGTGCAAAACTTCATTTGGAAGCTTGGAAAAGAGCTTGGAATGGCTGAATTTGATTGGGAATCCTTGAAACAAAAAAACCCAATTGTTTCGAGCAAGTTCATGAGCAAAGCTGACGTCCGACAACGAGCCAACTATTTTGAACCCTTTATGGTGGAATTAGTCGTCAATGCAGGTATATTTCCACCCCAGAAAGTGTTTACAACAACCCTGCAAGCTTCAAAGTATGTAGAACAGATCAAAGCTGCATTTGAAGATGCCACAGTTATGCCGAAGAACATGTTTGAGCAACCAACTTTCGATCCAATTTGGGATCAATTTTGTGTACGATTTGGGCAAAGAAAGGTCAAAGTGTTGAGGGCAACACTTTTTCAAGAGGGAGGGCCTGATATGATCCCAAATGATCCATTATACACGTTTAATTTACTTAACGAAGTAGCTAACGAAGTTGGAAAGAAGAAGGGCAGAATTTGGCTAAGTCAAAATCCGTGTTCAGGGTACATACTTTGGAGGCATGGTTCTCTCAATTGGCTTGGTGGAAATTCAAGGTTAAGGGTTTGTATTGAAGATAAAGTTGCCATCATTTCAATGGTAGTCTTTTTGGATCCAGATGATGTCATTAAGGTTGTTTTTCAAGGCCTCAAAGTTGCTACCTCAAAACTGGAAAACTGCCAGAAAATGGCTAAGGCAGAAAACTGTTTTGTGAAGCCTATTTTGGAGCTCAATTCGAGGAGTATGGATCTGATTCAATTCCAAAGGCTTCCACAAAATGAAACTAGGTATGTTTGTGAACAAAGGGAAGGAATTGGATGAAAGATTGGAGTTCGGGAAGGCCTCGAACGAAAGGTGCGAAGTTAGCACGAAAGCTGCCTTTTGACTGTTTGCTGGCAGCTTACTTGCGCTTGAAGAAAAGGAGTTTAAACCCGAATTTTGTAACCTTTTTAGAGTAGACTTTTACCTTATTAGTTTCCTTGTTAATCTAGGTTTGTATTAGGTTTTATTTGCCTTTAAATACCGTTCTATTTCGTTGTAAAATTCAGACTTTGTTGAATAGAAATAGAAACCGTTTGGTTTGTGCAAGTTGCGACTTGTTTTGGGTTTGGTGGATTCCAAACTTGCTGAGCTTGTGTATCTATTGAATAGTCACTTCAATCGTGGTCGAGCAACTACCCTTTTATACCAATCGAGCTATCCCCAGGTGTGGATTTGTCCTTTTGGTTCCGTTTTATCCAAGTTCGTATTAAGAATGCTTCGTTCTTGATTCGAGCTCAATCGATTCTTCGATTGAGTCGTTAGCTGCGTGACTTTGATAATATACACCCCCCCAGGGGCGTATCAGTGTCCCCATCATGGCTTCAGTGATGCATTCACAGTGGGGAACTTCTATAGTGCTCTCTCTCCGGAAAGCCCGAGGGTGATTGAGTCTCTATGCCCAGGAGGGGATATTCTTACTAAGACTCCACCCGAACTGAACCAGATGATCATTACATTGGCTGCCAGAGATTATTCCTGGGGGCAGAGTAGCAGAGGCAGGAATTCCCGGGACCGTGGTGTGCATGCCATGGAGGCCAGGTCCGGGCTAGAGCAGCAGGTGGCTGAGTTAGTGCAAACATTGAAGCAGCCCAACAATCTTATTCCGGGAAGAGGTTTGGCGTTACCTCCACTAGCTCAATGTCAGTGGTGTGAGAGCTCGAACCATCTGGTGCAAGACAGCCAGGCTATGCGGGAGTCATCTACACCACAAGTGCAGTTGCAAATAATCGCCAATGCTCGGCGCCTCGATCCATACAGTAACACATACAATGAGGGGTGGCGCCAGCATCCCAACTTCTCTTGGAATGGCAACGAAACACCACCAAACCACCTGGTTTCCCAGCACTAGCGGGTGGTTTTCAGCAGAGGCAGCCTTTCCAGGCCAGGCAGGGGCCGGCCCCACAGCAACAGCCTTACCAGCCTAGGCAGGGGCAGCCATTCCAGCATCCCCAGCATCAGTATGCCCATGCTCCAGCAGCTGCAGCTCCAGATAATCAGATGACGGAGCTGAAAAATATTTTGCAAGCATTCATGACCACCAGCCAGGCGAATTTCACGAGGATGGATCAGAACATAGCCTCACTGGAGGCAGGACAGAGAAACCAAGGTGCCATTTTGAAAGATCTACAGAATCAGATTGGTGGCATGGCTTGCCAAAACACTACCAGGGCACTGGGGCTCTGCTTGCCACCACTATTTCGAACCCTCGTGAGCCTCACCAGCACCAGCAGCTGGATGGCATCACTACCAGGAGTGGCAAGACCACATATGCTGCTCCTGCCCAACCCAGTCAAGACGAGCCACTACCTGCTTCAACACTTCCAGCTGACAGTGCAGAAGTGGGGGTGGGGGGGGACAAGGAAGCATCTGCTCCCAAGCCACAGCCAGTGGTCAAGGAGCATGTACCCCAGCTTCCTTTCCCCACTCGCCTACATAAAGACAAGCTGGAGACTAAGTTTGCCAAGTTCATGGCAATGTTGAAGCAGGTCAACATCAGTATGCCGTTCGTGGAGGCACTGTCGAAGATGCCCAAGTATGCCAAGTTCATGAAAGACCTCCTCACCAACAAGAAGAAACTTGGGGATCTTTCAATAGTGATGCTGAGCGAGGAGTGTTCTGCTATCTTGCAGAACAAGCTGCCCGAGAAGCGTAAAGACCCAGGTAGTCTCACTATCCCTCTTGTTATTGGCAGCATGCATGTAGGAAAGTCCTTGGCGGACCTAGGCGCTAGCATAAATGTCATGCCCTACAAATTGTTTAAAAAGCTAGACCTAGGTGAACCTAGAGCTACTAGGATGAGCATTCAGTTAGCTGATCGTTCC